GGTGGGAGGCGAGTGCTCTCACCACTGCGCCATCCCTGCTCCTCTGTTTGTCTTAACGCGAAGACAGTGTCTTGAGTGGTTTGTATACGCTCTCTGTTTCTGGCAACAAAAAAATCGAAAAAGCCGGGAACGAAATGCGTTAAATCGTGAGTGTTGAAGAAAACCAACAATGTTTTGTTATGCAATAAATTATGGGTCAAATAACTCTTTAATCTTTGAGGAAAAAATGCCTGGAAATTTTTCTCACTGTGATTTCAATATTTTCCTAATATTGTCATCTCAAAATATGGTAAATATTAGTTAAGAAATGATCAAATGAAAAAATAAAACCAATAAATTGTATCTCAAAGGCACATATCTTTCATACCCTTGAATGAGTTCTCAAAATTTTAGAACTAAAAAAAAAAAAAAGTAAAAGTGATTTCTTTAGTAAAGAGCTGAGTTTCTATTAAGACCTACAATTCTAATTTTATTTGCGGCTTCAAATTGTCATTGCGAGCAAAAAAGCGATTTATCCTAAAATATATTTAATGTTTCTTCATCACTTACGTTTCTGGTTATTAAAAATAGTTTCAGAGCTTTAGAATTTAACTTAGCTCCATAATTTCAAAATTTACGCTTTATTGTTCTAAAATGTCAACTTGGCCGGACGCCGATGTTGTGTTACTTCGAAATTCCTCCCATTGTTTAACCAGGAAAGACCATGATACCTGGACCATAATGACACCAAAAAAGTCTTTGTCCAGCTATATATTTTTAAGTGAACTGTTTCTTATTTTTCTCGATCATGCAACAAATTCTAGATCCTAGTAGTCGCGAGCCTGGTAAGGCCTCTTACAGCTCTAAGTGTCTTGTAATTCCTTCAATTTAGAGGGACCTATCGCCATCAATTCAAAACAACCGTTTTCAGGTGTTCACAATCCTATCTATGGCCTCTCCTCCCACCTTTCTGAAAGCTCGTCATTCGTTCTTGCAACAAGTCCTGTTCACGATTTGAAAACGATAACTCCTGTTGCAGACGTTCGATTGTTTTCAACAGGGCATCGCGCTCTTCCTGCAGCGACTGCAAGGTAGCACGGGAAACAGCCATCTGCGACATAAGAGACTGTTTCTCATTTTCTAAGCTCTCTGTACGGGAGCAAATTGACGCTGAATCTGATAGGCTTAACTGACTAGCAGATATCGATTCCTCTCGTGTGATTGGCGCAGATGCTTGTTCACTCTCGCGGGCGATTGATTCGTTACTCATCGGCCTGATGTGTAACACCCCGTCGTGGGTTCGGCGGATGGAAATGTTCTCAACAGTTAGATCAACTGGAATCGGCAAAGGTGCTGACACCAACGTGGCAGGAAGATCGTTGTTGATACTCACGCGCGAGTTGTTTACTTCTACTGAGAAAGGCATCGGTGGAAGCACGACTTCGTCCTCGATCCACTCCGCCATGTTCCCAAGAGTACTGACCAGGAGGGAACCGTGAACACCATTCACTTTGATGTGCATGAAGCCTCGTTCAGCCGCTGTCCGCTCGTAACGCTCCGCACACGGACCAAACTCCATACGCATCCGCATCGTGGGGGTTCCCTCTGACGTAGAAGGGATTGCGGTCTTTGAAAGAGTCTTTCTAAAGGACTTTCGATTGAGATATTTCTCAAAATTGATCACACCAAGTTCTTCCCACTTCAGCTCTGGGCATAAAATCTTTACCACAGTGTCATTCCCTACGAAATGGATTCCGAGCTCCACGTCCTCTCCTTCGATGGAGAAAATCGACACCATTTTGGCTGGGTCCTTGTGCTCGTCTTCAACGTCCTTGCCACTAGAATCTTTGGAAATGCTGCTACCCAATTGACAACTGAAGTTACTCGCTTCGCTATCTGCCCTGCTCTTAACACTTCCAGAAGCTGATTTGTCACCGGCTGGAACTACCAGCCAGCCATCAGAGTCGGGTGCTGATGCAGAGCTGGTTCGACCTGAGGTATGCGCCGAGCTAGCACGAGGTGACAGCAAGACCTCTTCGCTAGATTTAGCATCGCGACTGTCAACAGACACCGACCAATTCTTGCACTGAACTTCCTCAGAATCTGTTCTTAAAGATGTCTTAAAATCGATAACTTCTGGAGATTGACAGCCACTGTCCAACCTAACACCAGTGTCCAAATAGCTACTGAGACTACTTGTGTTACGACTTGTGTTTTCAGACGGGGTTCGCTCTTCGCGAGAACCTTCTCTGTCTGGAGCAGGAGGGAGCACGACATTTAAGTCCACACCCCGGGTAAGAATAGAAAAAAGTAGAGAAGGTTCACCGTTTTTAGACTCATTCAATTCAGAGTCTATATTAATCAGTCTTAAGCGATCTTTTTCCAGGTCTTCTTGTAGTTTTACCAACGTCTCCTGCAAGCGCATTAGGAAGAGGAATTGAAAGTGGTCCAATTGTATTTTAACAGATTGGGGAATGTGCATTAGGAGGCTCAAGTCAGCTTGTGATCCTGAAGGCTGCTCCTGACAAGCACTTCCCTCTGATTCTGAAAAGCCGTCCGGAGTGTCTCCTGATATAGAAGTTTTCCCAGATAATGGAGACACTTCCTCTGAGGCCGCCTCAACCAAATTAGGTTCATAATGCGTCAGAGTCTCGTAAGGTGGAGGAGGTTCGCTAACGACAGGGAATGGCTTGTGAGGTTCATTTCTCGGCTCATAAGCGGGTGGAGGTCCATCTTTTGTGGTATCGTCGGGCGCCTTGGAGCTAATATTAGGATCACTATTGTGTAAACCATATGTCGCTTTTGGCAATAGTGTGCCTGTGCTTGTTCTGCTCTTCATTGCTATTACGGGCTCCGAACCCTTTCTCTTGGGAGAGGGAATTTCCGAAGCTGTTTTCCGTTGAGTATTTGAGGTTAGCCAGCTGGTTCTCTCTACTCCTTCAACTGTCGGATTCATTGCTGTGGTATTGTGGCCATGAACCGGTAAAGGAGTAGCAATCCAGATTTGAACCGGGACAGCGTCTATAAATGGCACTGGTCGGTTCTTAATCTCGTCAATGCCAAGGAAATCAAGCCACACTTGCTCCGCTGATAGGCACCAAACCTGTGAACGATAAAAAGAAACAACTTAAAACTAATAAGAAGGCTGCACTAGAATGTGCTGCTGTACATTACCGAGATCAAATCTTATTTTCCATCTTCTTCCAACTTTATCTAAACAGTTGTTGCGCGAGGTCCATTTTTGTAGTGACCCAAGGAAGATCACAGAAGCATGCGATTTAGTACAAAAAAACCTGCTAAAACATGAGGAGAAAAAGATCATCGAGGAAGGGTTTATACACGCGGCATAAACATAAGTACACTCTAATGCAGAAAAGTTAAGTCTTCATCATGAGTATCAGTGCCGTCTCCTGAGAGATTAGGTCTCCACCCCTTCCTCAGACAGAAGTATTCGCGAAGATCAAATGGCAGGTGTTGAATATATCTACAATAGCTTAAAAAAATCTTGGAAATAACTTAACTCTTAGAATAGTTTTGACAAACAGACGAAAGGATACCTGTGAGGGTTGATGAGTTCCAGAAGTATCCTGACAAACGCCATTTAAATGTTTATCAATCTTTGCATCATTTGACAGCAAACTGCAATCATTTACCCACGAAGAGTTAGGCAAAGGTTGCACATCACTAGGCAAGGATGGGAAATTCTGAAAATCTGAGTAAGTTCTTGCGCCAAGGAAAGGTTGAAGGAACATCAACATGTCTGTCTGGGTAGACTTGTTTCCAATCCTCGAATTTGTGATAAACACCTGGGACATTTGAACCTGGAGACCCTGGGGCCGAGAATCTTTGTACGCTGCACAAGGGTCACTTGGGCAAGGAATAACTAGCTGTAAAATCAAAAGAGTATATTAATATATAAAGACGAATGAAATACCAGGTGAGCTTTCACGCGAAAACGTGATATCTTCACACGTGAAAATAACACCGTTATTATGGATACATGTTATATCCTCTATCCATCTCACCCAAGGCATAATAACACACGATGCAGGCAACCTGATAATTTCAGAATATTAGGTCACCATATAGTGACTTAACCCCTTAACTCACATGAGTGACCAAGACAGAATTTCTCCTTACAATATGAATACAATATCAAGCAGACAAGTCATGAGAACTTAGAAAAAGATCAATTGAATAAGAATATAGTTTATATCTGACCACTTGCAGCCCAGAGGCTGAATTACGGGTGCAGTGTAAGGTTGAGAACAGACGTCAGCATATCAGGCGCCTCTGGCAGCCGCTT